CAAAGCCTGCAGCAGCCTGAGAGACAGACAGGCTGCGAGGATGCGAAACAGCAAAATGTGATTTGGTTACCCAAACTGATCGTAATAACAAGTCCTAATTAGTATGTATTCTGATATAGCTGATGATAGGAGAGGTTTTAACTGGCAACATATTCTTTATCTTAATATCTACATTTTACAGTTGGAGAGGAAACAAGAAGCATCTGACTGATGGCGCTAACAACAATTACCAGGTGTAAAAAACATCTGTGAAACAGAAATGAACGAGCCTTTAAAAATGGAAAGCAGCAGCAGTCCACAAGGAAGTGAGTGGACGGCCAAAGAAAGATCAAGGCGGGCGTTCACCTGTGACACACCCACTAATTATGACCATGAAATCCAGAAAAAGAAATAGGGGGACTTTGATTTGAGGTTATTCAACCCAGTGTGAGAGAAAAATGTTGATCCACTGCACAAATATGATCGAGTTTCCCAACAGAGGCTCTGAAATGGTGACGGTCAGTTTGTTTTTGTCCTGTTTTTTACTGATTAAAAAAGTATGGAAGAATAAGTTTTTTGTTATATTTTAATAATTTTTTCATGCTTTTCATTTCATTCTTTGGCTGCAGTAGTTTAAATAGCCTATGTTTTGGTTTATTTTATAATTCAGTGAAAATGGTTTCCATCCATTACTCATACATCTGGGGACATATGCTTTCTAGATGCAAAAATACTGCATGCATCTATGGTCATGAATTTTAAAAATCCCACGTGACCTCGTGAAAGTTAGAGCATTCACAACATTTTCAGACACTTGACCTTTGACCTTGAGATCAAGATAACTAAGATTCAAACTCATCTGAGACTTTTAGTAGATGCACCAATTTGAAACTCCTACGTTGCTTCGTTCTCAAGTTCTCACATTTACAAACTTGGATGTTCCCAAACCCCGAGCAAAAAATGAGCAAGAATATTTCTCATAGATTCAACTGTCCAAAGTTCAAGCCTGAATTCACTGGGTAAATAAAACAATAAAAATGGTTCTCAGGTAAGGGATGTTTCCTGGTGTCTTGGGCCAATTATGAATTCACCAGGTACTCAGCAAGTGTCTTTACTTTTATTCTTTTTTATTCAATATAGAAAGAGGTTACTACAAACTGTGATTGCTGTTTAAAAGTCGCATTTTGCTATTGGAGGGTGAAGCAGGGGGTGTATCACAACAATATCCATAAAACTAATCAATAATAATTAAAAAAACAAAATCCAAGGTAATTTCCCTCCATCGATGGGCTGCTTTTAGTGCAGCAGATATTTTTAGATTGTCTATTTTTTGGTACTTCAGACACGTCACAGTTCCTTAAGTGAATCCATGGGATTTACTTAAAGGGAACATTGTTGTTTATTATTGTTTGTTTTTTGTCAGCTGGGAGCGTTAGCAGCTTGCTGCCAGTACAACGCCTGCCAGCTGGCTAACAGCCAGCTTGTCATGAGACCTGGAGTGACCTCCTGTGCACTGAGGTGGTGAAACAGGAATGTGAAGGCAGCTTGTAAGCTGCAGCGACAGTCAGCAGGCAGCAGGACTAACAGGATGCGACTGTCAGTATGCAAGCTGTGACAGCATGTGTCTTTATTAGATCTTGTGGATGTAAGTGCATAGGTGGACATAAACAAATACATCCAGGTAGCATCGGGCCACATAAAGCAGACCCGGGAACTGGATCAGATCCAGACTCCTGATAGTTACAGTATGAGGCTGATTAATGAATTCACATACTCACAACACACATCATCACAAACATGCCCACAAAAAATGGCACATATGCACCTGACTGTTGTACTGCATTATCTCTCCCAACATTCTGTGTGTTTGGTTATGATACAGAATAAAAAAAGACTACAGTCCAAGAAAAATTCATAACGCCAAAACAAAGGAAGAAGGACATCAGCAGCTACTATAGCAACCCGATCACTCATCATGTGCTCGCATTAGTGCATTAGTAACCATGTCATAAACCCATACAACTTCCTGCTCTTGCATGTCTACATTAAGAGAACACATAGTCATGTAATGTCTTATTACCTGCTGCCTAATGGACTCTCCAACTTTGCACTTATGGAGTAGATGAAAGGAGTCGACAGAATCATGGGCGCTCTGTTGGGAGGTGAAACAACTCCCCATAAATAATGTGCAATGCAATAAAGTGCACTAGAGAAACAAATATTAGCAAAGGCAATGTCCCACTGCAATACAGCCCATTCAGCGCAGTGCTGACCTGTATCCCGAGCCACCGAGCAGACACCCCAACAGGCAGCTGAGCAAACCAATCAACTGCACTCATTCTGATCATAAACAGCTGTGCCAGATATGAAGGCATTTTGCAGGCTTCCATTTGCAGCAGTGTGTTTTTTTTCCAGCTTTTTTATAAATGACTTGAGTAAAGATATTAAAGCAAAACTATGCCTTTATGCTGATGATGAAGTCATTCTAACACATACATCCTCTATAGTAATGGAGGGAAAGAACTTTGAATCCTAAATGCTCCGCTGAGCACAGGGCAAGCTACAGAGCTGAAAAATGAATCTTTGCAGAAGTGGCAAAAATCCCATCTGAGGGTGGCTCCAAAAGACCTTCAAGTGAGTACCAAACATGTCCAGATTTACAGCATCAGGAAGCTTGTTTGCAGCCTGGGAAAGATACAAGTTTGGCCTCTCTTGCATAGTTTTGCCCCTCATAAAACCTCTGAGTGGGGTGATTGTTTTTTAAACTGAGTTGGAGATGTGGCAGTTTGATTGACAGGTGTGCCATCACAGGAGTTGATCTCAGTGGAACTTTCTGGTAAAATAAAGTAATGGAATAAATTTCTTTTTGATGTGAGATTATTATTATTATTATTTTTTTATCACAAGTCATCCTCAAAAACTTGTCCTTGCGTTTTGACATATAGATTTTTCATAGTGGAAAATTAAAACAGCCATTTTCTACATGTTATACATTCAAATGCAGGTTAATTGGGAACATATTATGCATGTTAACTGAAAATGAGCATAATAATTGCAGTTCGAACGGAATATATAATTGTAGAGTGTATTGTTGTTCTTTCTCACATTTTGGCAATAAGTAATCTCAGCAGATGAGACTTACAGGCTTTACTGATAGCAAATCCATTATCAGGTCAAAACTAATGATATCAGCCAATAAAACAAAACAAAAAAATAGAAGAACAAAGGTTGTATGTTTTCTTTGCTTGCTAGGATGCGGGTTTTAGCATTTGGCCAATTTTCTATTTAGAATTTTTTATATTATCCATATCTGTTTGTTACATTTTATAATTGTTTGCAATCAATACATTTTTGCTTTTTATGTTCTTGATTTCCTACTGAGTCAACTGTTTTTGATTTCATATTAAACGCCCCTTAAAAACCTATGTAAAACTATGTAAAACTATGCAAAACTATGTAAAACTATGCAAAATCAGAATCTGGAAAGACTCAGTAATTGCAAAAGAATTCATACAATTATACAAGTGCAGCCCACAGTGATTGGTAATTGTATTAAATTACCAACACGTGAAAAATGTGATTTGGCGGTGTTTAAAAAAATCGAATTACATTTGTAAACAATGCTTTCTCTCGTTAATTACCAAAGCCATATCATTATGCTTGTCGTTATCATATCTTCACTGAAAAACAATTATGATAATTCTTCAACAAACATTAATAAAAAAGAAAACAAAATCTCGAAAGCATTTTTTTGTCGACACTACAGTGATCGTTGAGGAACGGCTGTGAGTGATCACTAATTACTGCGGTGCATTCACTCATCACCGTGACAGATGTGTGATGTGTGAATGAGTGTGGGTGTAAGCAAATGCATTTAGCAAGTGCTTTAATTTGTGTTTTCTACCTCAGTGCAGCATTGTTGCAAATTTGTAGAAAACGTGTGTGAGTTGCATCACACATGGGCTATGCAAAGTTTGTTACACCTGGAAGAATAACAGAAGCATTTAAAAAATGTTCCCCATACAATCGCTACGATGCCACAATACTGAGATCTATAATTAATGTACGCAGCTGACAGGTCATTTTAGATCTGATTCTCTGGCCTTCTTTCACACTCTCTTTCACAAATGTATAATAAGTTAATTTAGTTTAAATGGACTTAATGGGCAGATTCAATTACTGCCATGCCAAAGTCCCAGAGCAGCATCAGTGATGACAGGATTACAGCTGAAGTAGCGCCAGAGCGGAGACACGTCTTTGCTACGAGAAATATTAGGTCCGCAAGTGAATTTCAGTTCAGATGCAAAAGAAATGCTATGTGGGTGGGAAAATGATTCCAGGAAAAGAGGTGGAGAGATTCTAAGACTCCCAATCAGAGAAAAAGAGGATTGCTGCGGCACCGTTTAGGATAAAAATATGTATGAAGTTTATTCTTGGAGGAGTTCAGCAAGCAAAATAGACCCTGATGGAGACTTGGAGTTGATTCACTTTGGCCTATTTTGCTTGCCGAATTGCTCCAAGAATAAACATGTTACATGATTTTATCCTCAGCAATCCTCTTTTTTTTAAAATATTGAGCTTGTGTTTGCTATACTGATGGTGGATAAGCCAGTTCTGATGAACTCCCAATAATACCTTATTAGAATCAAAGACTAATTTGTAAGATAGTGACAACAAAATGGTCAGCTGGTAGGTTCTGCTTTTATCCTGATGCATTTAGCCAACTAAAAGAACTCTTAAATGCTGCTGATAATAACACCTACAACCGAATGCTCTGCCTCCTGGAAGGAGTCTAAATGTCCTCAAAGGGAAGTGAAAAGCATTTCAAGAAAGGTCAAATACATGAAATATTAGAGGATCTCTTGAAGAGTAAGCCGTCCTCTCAGAAACCAAACCAGTGGTCACGACTCTGAAGCTGAAAGTCTGCTACTTCACACAGCTCAGCAGACCGAGTAAAGAGAAACCTGTGCCTCATAACAGTAACAACAAAGCAGAAAAAGAGAGAGATAATGAAGTCAAACCTTGGCAAACAGCGCCCCCTTGGCCGCCAGTGCATCTTCCCCTCTGCCATTGGGGTAGCACTCGTATCGTGCATCCAGGATTGGGTAGCGGCTTGCCAGCATGAGCCCACTGTTCAGGAATTTGAACCTGGAGCAGCAGCCTTTCCAGCCATACCGCCCAACATCGCTCAGGATGTAGGGAAAATAGCGATGCAGCTGGCGCCGTAGTCTAGTAGTCGATCCATGGTCAAATACCTCCTGTAGAGCCAGGAAATCCAAGTTGGCAGGGAAAAAGGCAGAGATGTCATGGTCGAATGTTTCATCTCCGTGGCGGCGTTTTCGACCTGGGCGCTTGAATATTGATGTGCGTGGGACATGAGAGAGAGTATTGTTGGAGGATATCCCTATCCCACCATCACTTCCATGGTAACGAGCAAGGGACTCACGAGAAGCAGTCATGCTGCCCGTGTCTGCCCCTCCGTGCTCTCCAGGCCGGTGGTTCCCTGTCTCCGCCTCCTCTTCCTGGGGGTCCGGCTCTGGAGCACTGATGCTAATTTGAACCCCTGAGGTGTGAAGCGGACAGTCTGTTGCGGGTTTTGGCTGGGTCCCATCCCCATGCATGGGACAGTCATGATGACCAGGAGCACTCTGAGCTACTGTGGAATGCACGGGGCAGTCTGGAGCCTCCCCTGAAGTGTGAATGGGACAGTCTGAGCTGCTTTTAGTCTCCCCTTGGTGGAGAGGGCATTCTGCTGTAGTGTCTGCCCCATCAGGGTGCACAGGGCATTCAGCAGAGCCCTGGTCATTCACAGAAGGGTGAACGGGGCAGTCAGTGGCACCTGAGGGGTGAATCGGGCACTCAGTGGCAGGTTCAGTTTCGGTGTCGGCTGGGCCATTGGTTGTGTGTGTTTGGTCTGGACGTTGGTCCAACGATGAGGTACGGCGGAAACCTGTGGCAAGGCTGCTGAAGGACGCCGCACTGATAAACATAACAGAAACAATATGAACATAGAGGCATTTACTGCAGATAAGTGCAGAGGGAAGTTTGGATTGATCTCTCCATACCTGATAGAAGTGTTGGTAGGTGAGTCAATGTAGATTTTAATCTGAGGTCGGCTGGCACCATTGCGGATCCTCTTCCCTACCTCCCGTGCTCTCCGGTGGGTGTCTGACAGGTTGTTAAACCTTGCTAGGGAGTCAGGCAGAAGGCAAACATTGGCACTGCAGAAACAGAAGCTTCTGCCCTGTGGCCTCCATTCCCCAATTCCAGCACCTGCTTGACCTTGTTCAGCCTGGTGTTTGTCTGGCCTAAGACAAGACAGAAAAAAAACAACCTTTAAATGCAAATATAATACCAGAAGAAAAATAGGGCATTAGAAGCAAAAGCATTTTTTTAAAAGAAGCAAGGAAATTTTTCCCAGATTTCTTTTTTTCAAAAGATATACTTAGAGAACCATTTTATTCTGCCTTCATCTTGAGCCTACACTCATTGAGAGTAATATCATACTGGTCATCTAACTCTGAGCAATATTAAAGAAATCCAGATACTTCAAACACAGGGTCTTATAGCCATAAGGAAGCTAATCAAATGCAAATACTTTTTAAAGCAGAATCTCTCAAAGCAATTAGCTGCTGAGCAGTTTTGAGGTTTCTGCTTATTAACCTTATTATATCAGTAATGTAGTCTAAAGAAATAGATTACATTTCTGTCACTTAAAGAGATGTGTCTACATAGACATATGCAGTTAGGACCATTTGTATTTGGGTATTAAAACAGTTTTTTAAATTTTGTATCTGTGCACAAGCACAGTGAATTTAATAAATAAATAATAAAATAAATAATTTCAGAACCTGAACCATTTACTTTAGTTTTTTCTTCAGTAACTGTAAAGCTTCTCTGTTGAGTTCTGATCAGTTGGCTGACTTGTCATTCAAGAATATCCAATTTATTTGCCTTGACAAACTCTTGGGTTTGTTTTGCTGTGAGGCAACTTCTGATGAGTTTTGCAGCAGATAGCTGAACCTGCGCAAAGTATAGAGCTGTCTACACTTCAGACTTTGCTAAAATAAACAGTAGTGATTCTGTTCCACTTGTAGGCAGAGGCAAAGCTACAAAAATCGTCTACTGTCTAAAAACCTATGGTGTATGCCACTTAAACACCGCCTGAAGTTTTGAAATCATACACCATCTGAACTGCGCTGTAGTAGTTGACTCCATGATACTAAGTTTTATTCTAACATGATCAACATTTTAAAAGTGATCTATTCAACCCAGACCAGGTAGTTTTGGTGCCTAAAGCACAGCTGGTGTCATTAGTTTGTGGGAGCATATCAGTGAAGACCTGAACACAGATGCTAAAAGCAAACTAACTGAGCTGCAAACACAACCTTTATTAGGTTGATGTGATGTCCAGACATGTAAAGATTCACAAGGAAAGAAACAGCAGGAAAGGAGCAGACAAGAACAGAGAAGCAACAGAGACACTAAGAGAAAGACTGAGTGGAAACATTGGACTGTTTATTCACAGTAAGGGTAACTGGGAGGGTGGAAACCAAAGGGTAATGAGACACAGCTGAAGGAAGTCTAGACAATGGAACAAAGCGAGACAGTGTACCACACAGAGACAATTAACTGCCAAATTAAAGCAATGAAACTGAAACAAGGACACAAATGAACCTTAACTCTAATCTTGAATGTTCATGTAAGACAAAAGTGCCACAGTGCACATAAGCTCCATAAACACAATCAGTAACTTAAACTAACAAGAACCAAAGGCTCATAATCAACAATGTTGGCTACGAGTAAAACTAAGAAAACCTAAAACAACCAAACGGACCAGAAACAGATAAAAAAAATTGGATTCACATCTTCTTCTTAAACGGTCCTTTGTTGTCAGTTTTTCAGCAGGTGTTTGTGGGGGTGTGATGAGTAGAATTATACTCATGTGCTTTTCAGCTTTTAAAAATCTTTTCTATTTGGAATTTATTTTTCCCCAATTCTCCAAAGGTCTCACCAACATCAGAGTGTGAAAGATGTTAACTTAAAATTAACATCTGCCCTTCCTGGGGGGAAAACTCATCAAATAATAGGAAATTAAAACAAAAAGTTTAGTTACTGTACATATTACAGTAACTAAACACAGGGCGACCGTGGCTCAGGGGGTTGGGAAGTGTATCTGTAACCGGAAGGTTGCCGGTTCGATCCCTGCGCTCTCTGTCCTGGTCGTTGTGTCCTTGGGCAAGACACTTTACCATACCGCCTACAGGTGTTGGCCAGAGGGGCCGATGGCGCGATATGGCAGCCTCGCTTCTGTCAGTCTGCCCCAGGGCAGCTGTAGCTACAACCGTAGCTGCCTCCACCAGTGTGTGAGAGTGAATGAATAATGGCATTGTAAAGCGCTTTGGGTGCCTTGAAAAGCGCTATATAAATCCAATCCATTATTATATTTCCTCACATTGTGCCAAACTGTTTATTTATTAATTGGTAGAATAAACTTTTAGTATTCTTGATCATATCTAACTCTGTTAAGGTAGAAAAATAGTGCATCTAAGTTGGATTTAAGTAGATTCTTTTTTGTTGTTGTATCTTGAAACCCTTTGCTGGTGAGATGGGGTTATAATAATACTACTACACTACCAGTCCAAAGTTTGGACACATCTGGCCATCCAAACTTGGTGCTGTATACTTTGATGCAATGAAATGTTGAATTGTAGAGCCTTGTCTTTGATGAGTGTTATGAAAATACTGTTGAGACAAACTTGTTTTCATGCAGAAATCTTTCAGGAGTTGTCAGTAGCATGAAATACAAATACATTCATTATGTGAGATGTTTTTGCAGCATATCAAGAATAACAAGCTATACGTAAATTCAGTAAGTTCTTAGGATGTCGTGTTATCCAATTTTCTTTTTACCATCTTTCAGATAAGAACACAGTGAATTCTGTACTATCACCAAGCAGCTAGGCTGTCCTTGAGACTCTGTGGAGAAATATAAACTGGATCAAACAGTTATGTCAGTGTACCCCACAAGGTGCAACCGGGCCTTACAGCTTTTAGCCCTTTTCATAATAATAGTGCGATTTTAATTATAGAGGGTTTAGGAATAAAAACAGACATGCACACATCATAGCAGCCTGTCTGTTTTTTGTTTTTGTTGTTATCTGTTTTACTCTTAAATGATTATTATGTGATGTGCTATGTATTACATTTTCTATTCTCACTCTACCATTTCTACTCTACCCCCTCTTTATGCTTCTGGCCCTGAACTCTACTGCCATCGGTGCTTTTTACCTTTTTAAAGACATTATCCATGAATATACAATAAACTGTTACTAGGTGACTGTTGAAACAATACTTAAAATACTAGAAACTCACATTTTACATTTGCCATCTCTAAACTGCTAATTATAGGAAGATCGTGCTGCTGTCCCAAAGCAAACAGAGCTAAATACTGTATTTCCCATTTTGTGGTTATGGCGGGTTGCCACTTGGGTGGGTGTTTTGATAACGAAACACCCACTGAGAGCCAATGGAGTCTTGCAGCTGGAAAGCAGACCCACGAGCAAACTATTTACACAAGATAATGACTTCATTTTCCCCTTCTTGAAATAGCCAACCCCTGTGAACAACTGGCTCTATAGATAAAAAATGAAGCATGACTCTACAACTGCTCGGCCCATTTTTCACGTTACATTGATCCAGGGCCTCATTTTCATTCACAGTTTAGTTGAAAGCCAGTCTAAAATGTGTAAACCGGTATAAAGTGCGTTCATCCAGTCATCTTTAAACTGAACCACTGCAAGGACAAAGAAAGGCCTACATGGTTGGCTGTAGGTCTGCCCTCCTCACCTGTAGAAACCTTAAGCAGGAAAAGATTGTGTTACCTTAAAACAGTTAGGTCACTACATAATACTGTCTAAAGTAAAAGACACTACATCCTTACAAAATCAGATATTATGTACAGTGCTGTGAAAAAGCATTTTTGCAGTTTTGTCACACTTACATGTTTCAGATTAAACAAATAAAATATAAAACAGAAGTAAATAAAAAAGGCGTTTTTTAAATGATGCTTTGATTTATTAATGGAAAAAAACTACCCAGCCTACCTGGACCTTGGCAGCGAGAACTAGTATTAAGCATTTGTAATAAGTTCAAACAAGTCTTTCATATCTCTGTGGACCTGTTTAAGGTCATGCCAAAGCATCTCAATTTGGCCAGGCCACTATGAAACCTTCACTCTTGGAGTAGTTTTGCTAGGCTGGCCACTCCGTCACCACTATTCCAATTATTTTTTTTTACATAGGGCTAGGTAAGGTTGGATAGCGTTTTTTTAATAAATGAAATCATCTAAAAACTGTACTATGTACTTGTTTGGGTAACTTTGTCTATTAGGATGTGATTAATGATCTGAAACCTTTAAATGTTTAAATCAAGTTTGGTAAAAATACTTTTTCAGAGCCCTGTAAATTCACAGAAACAGCAGCAGTAATAAATAATATAGCCATGTTGGCACTAACCTGCAGTAGGTGTACAGGTAGGGCTGGCGGATTGCCTGCAGGGGAGCCCAGATGATGAAGCCCAGCAGAGCAAAGGGCAAGGAGGCGAGGAGGAGGAGCAGGTAAAGGGGTGCGGAGATCAGCACACATAACGTGAGGAAGGAGCAGGGGTCCTGGGAGCGCTGTCGCTTCTCCAGCGAGGTGGCCACACAGGACGCCAGGAGCCGGTCCAGGAACCAGTAGCAGGGAAACACCAGGCTCCACGACAAGCCATCCAAGAAGTGCAGACAGGCACTGGAATACGGGGTGATGTGGAGGACCATCTCTTTCCTTCTTTCTCTCTCTTTCTGTCTGTCACTTTCTCCTCACCTTGCACGTCCACACCCACATACACTATAATCAATCACAAAATCTCTTCCACTAATTACATAAGCAGAAATAAATGAAAAAAGATCAGACTCAAATGTAGACCCTCCCCCATTCCTTGGAGAAAGGAACACTACATGGTTTGGATGATTTCTATCTTCACAGGAAAGCTTATCTCAGTCTTGCTGCCCCTCCCTCAGTAATTACACCCTCCACAGGAGGGGTCAAGGAGCGCAGTCTCGAGGTAGGCAGTTGTCATGATGAAAGCTATTCCCTTGATGACGGATCTATGATTGCGAGGACTCAAACCACCTCTGCAGGGGGTATCCACTCAACATCAGCATTTCCTCCAAACCTGAAGAAAGAAGCACATCGACAGAGGAAAGGCGGGAGAGAAGGAAAAAGAAGCAGGGGATCAGTAATTGACTTTATTCCTCTGGGAGTGAAACTCATACATGTCAGAATGACTGTAATTGCATAATAACAGCACATCTCCACAGAGGCTTGTAAGCTACAGGCAAAATTATTTACTGTAGTTTGTCTCGTCTTACAAGAAGAAAGAATAATGTATGACAGCGAGTACGACATACTCCTGACAACAACCCATTATGGGATGTATTTTTTTAAGCTATTTCAGAAGACAAGCAGTTGATCAGACTGTGGTCATACTACTGGGGTGTGGGTGGGTTGGAGATGAATAGTGGGCAGGCTAAAACAGGTTAAATGGCGGCAGCTGCACGAGATAGTCAGTTGGATGTGCAGAAGGAGTAATCGGCTGATGTGGGTTGGCACTAAAATCAGCTGATTTGCATGGATGGCAGCTAAACTTGACTTTGTAGCCTGCTTACACTTATGTTGCATCTACACTGGAAGTGATTTGTTTATCGGACATCACTTTGAAGCTACCGGCAGGTCGCTTACAGACATTCCAGTAACCTAGAAAACAACTTTATGTATTTACTACCACGCCATGAGCCAATCAATGGCATTTGTCATTCTCACTGGTAGCTGTTTCAGTCACTCGCCTGCAAGTTTAATAAAGTCTGGCCCACTTTCATTGTCAGCAGTGCTGCAGTAACAGGTCCACTTAAAAGTGTTGTGTTTGATTGTGAAAAGATAACACATTTATATTCCTCATGGAAAAGTAAGTATGTACAAAAAAAGGAGAAAAGGTGACTTGCATTTGAATATTTCTCAGAACATAAATATTATATAAACTAAAGAGTTGAAAGATACGATGATATTAACGACTACAAAGCTCCTGAAGCTGAAACAAAGAGATTTCATAGTGCACGAGCACACACAAATCCACTACCACAGAAATTTTTGGCCCGCACTGTTTAAATAATTTAAAGTCTATGTTTAAATAGGAGAAGGGCTGTGGAAACAGCTCATCGTGGAATCAGTAATTGTTGTTACAAAAGGGTATCACAAAGGAAAGGACATTAACCACGTCGTTCTTCCTGCCCGCAGATGACTTAACCAGAAATTCCAACCCTAAATGCTTTTTAACCAACTTTAATATCAGCATAGGCAACAGAGGGAAGAGAATTGATCCCACCGACATGAATAAGTAATGACTAGATTAATTCATTCATGTCAACAGGCGAGTTTAGGAAGACAAAGAGAGTGCTGACCTTGGTGTAACATCATATGCCCAGCAGAGAAGGGCAGTGGAACAACTCATGCTTTTGAATGAACCTTGTCTCATTTGCTGTGCAACAAGACAACTATAAACTTGCTGTAACCGTGGAGAAATGCTGCGTGCATATTATACTCACAATCCATATTAAAGCAGAAAGTAGGTAAAGCAATTCTGACATAGCTCACCAAATGAATGAAACTTTTCATTCTGTATTTGGACAGTATAATCACACCTCCACAGGTCCGCAGACAGCACAGGCTGTCACGTATTCATCTTTCTTTTTGTCAAGGGTCTGCTTTTTTAAAATCTATTTAGGATAGAAGACTTTCCAGCAAAACATGTCTGTGGGAGCTGTTTGTCACCACTGTCTACTATTTTCTCCCGAAATGAAGCTCTTTTGTCAGACAGGCTCATTCTCTGAATAGGACATCTCTCCCAGAATTACCACCTCTTCCATCCTTGTAATCTTCTTGTGTAGGGTCGAAACCTTTGTATACTGTAATGATTCGTATTATGACAGAGGAGCTGCCTGTGCTACTACTTGCTGACTTCCTGCTGCGATGGTTGACCTGAAAAGATATAAAGAGATGACCTGCTGACTCACCAGTGGGCATTAGGGGCATATGACGGCAGTGTTTTACTGACTGTCTTTAAGTCTAACATGTGGAAGTCCACACTTCAATTCTCACTGGACATATGGAGAAAAGAGGTAGCACTTTTTGGGATTAAACTTTGCAGCACTTTTTAAAAAAAACTTTGGTCGGCCATGAACTAAGCATTACACCTTAAAACTGTGAGCTAACCTGTCCATAGGCTGAATGGCACCGGTGAGGCAGACAGGTGTACTGAGAAAGGCGACTTTAGCCATTATTTGCTAGGCCTCACCAAGTCACTGAACAGGACCCATCTTCCTTGGTTTTTGATGAAATTGTGTGATAAATAACGTGACCTACAGTGCTATAGAGCATATTTTTAGTATTTTTGTATTGTGCACTCAAAAACTAGTGGGTGACATCCCTGTGGCATCTTGTATGTCTGGTTAAGTATGGTTTAAAGGGAGTGTATATGATTATATTTTGAAATAACAAGCATAATAAAAAAACATTTATTATGCTCCAAATACTATATTTCCATATCTATTTTTAGTTCACTTTCTCAGAAAAGCAAGCAGACAGAAGATAGCACCCTCACCCCTTTTCATCCATCCATCATCCATCCATCTACCCATTTATTATTTATCCATCTATCATCCACTGACCCATCCTTCATTTATCCATTTTCTAGCCATTGATCCAACCATCCATGGACTGGTAAATGGTAAATGTTTCTTATAATGAGAAATGATTCTTATATAGAGCTTTTCTACTCTCGTGGAGTACTCAAAGCCCTCTATACAACACGCCGCATTCACCCATACACACAAGCACTGTTGTCTATACTTTGCAGTGCTTTCTAACTAACATTCATACACATTTATACTCCGATGGATGCATCAGAGAGCAAGTGGGGGTTAGTATCTTGCCCAAGGATATTTGGCATGCAGACTGGAGAGCCAGGGATTGAACCACCAACCTTCTGATCAGCAGCTGAGCTCCTCTACCTGAGCTGCAGCCACCTAAACACATCCATCATTCATCCATTGATCCATCCATCATGTATCCATCTCCATCCATCCATCCATCCATCCATCCATCCATCCATCCATCCATCCATCCATCCATCCATCCATCACCATCCATCCATCATCATCCATCTACTGATCCATCAATCATCATTCACCCATCAGTCATCCATTGATCCATCCATCATGTATCCATCTCCATCCATCCATCATCATTCATCCATTGATCCATCCATCCTTCATTTATCATTCTCTAGCCATTGATCCATTCATCATCCATCCATGTCTCTGTCCATTTATCCATTTATCCATTTATCCATTTATCCATCCATCCATCCATCCATCCATCCATCCATCCATGACCTCATCGACTCATTGAAGAGGTATGATTTTAGTCAACCAAACTTTTTAAACCTTGCTGTGTTACAGCACACATTACAACACTGTTTATTGTATTTTTAAGATATACGACAGAAGGTAATTATTTCATTGTTCTCAAATATCGATGAAACTCTGATATGCATTTAGAATAAGCAAAAGGAAGAGCAAGCAGAGAGTGAATAAACAAAAAGGAAGCAAACAGAGAGCTTACCCCCTGCACAAAAACTCTAATCCAGACAAATTCACTCATTGCACTGACTCCATGCCGCCTGGCATTTAAGCCGCAATTTGCAGCCACTGCTCATTAAAATGTGCTATTTCTGGCTGCTCGTTTTAGGTTTCAGGAAGAAAAAAATACATGGATAATTCAAAACTCACTCATGCAAGAAAATCCTCTCACTACTTTCTGCTAGACTTGCTCGTGTTCAAATTCAGATTCATCAGCCTCTCACTGGCATAAGCAAGTCAATATTAGCAGGTTTAAGTATCATAACTCAACTCCAAACAATTCAATATTAACAGTTGCATAATAAAACTCAAGCAGCACAGCTAGGACGAGAGGTGCAAGTACGACAATCACACAGAGAAAGTTACAGTCTACAGCAGTTTATATGGAGAGATGCTGGTGTGTCAATACAACGAACAGAAATCATAACATTCAAAAACTCCATCAGTAAATTATGATGATAGTGCTGTGTAATGATGATTAGAACAGGTATTTTCTGGCTTTAAGTTTGTATCATAATTATACCTCACACAGATAAAGACAATGTGATTTTATGTAAAAATGGTGTTATTATCACCTGCGGGGAGATTAATGCTCTTTCGATTGGATCCAACAGAGCACAGGATCTTAAAAAAAAAGGAAGAGAAAATTAGCAAACACGCTCATTCATTTCAAAGAAGGACGTTTTTGTACCGCATGTTTTCATTTGTTTGTTTCTAACTTTCACATTTTCTTTTCCTGCTGCAAATTGACCTTGATGGTTGCTTGATGGTGATTAAAGCTCACAGAGTAGAAAATGATATATTATAGGCACATCTTCTTAGTGTATGCGTGTCTATACGTCTGCATGTACCCTCTCTCCCCAAACACTGTCACACATACAGCGATTATCAACATTTACTTTTTTTTTCAAAAACATTTATTATAAATCTCAGTCATTTTGATTTCCCTTCATATTATACTTATTTCATTCCCTGTAAATGCAATTTTAAATTCTCTGGTTGCAATTTTTTTCCTACGTCACTTATTAATGAGCACCCAAAATTTGAACCGGCAACACAACTTTATTCAATGAATTATATAATGACTTGAAAAAGCGCTGGAAGTCTGGCAAAAGCTCCCATAAGGTGGGCTTGAGATTGATAAGTAAAGACTTAACTGAACACCATAAGAATTAGTTTTTGTCCATAACTAAAGTATCCACACTGGCCCGATTACATCATCCTATCATCAACCTTTAACTCTGCTGAAGTCTTTACCCATTGTATTCATCTTTTTTGCCGCTTTAAGCGTTAAAATCCTCGATCCCACGGCCTTTAAAACCTTCCACTTTCCTCAGCTTCTGTGGGGAGTTTACCTTTTGAAAGCTGCATCAACGACCACACCCAGAAAAACAAACCTCAGTCAGAGCTGATAGATCAACGAGCACAAACCGTCACATTTGGCCTTATCAGAGGAAGCTCAGCGGTGCATAATTTATAGCCAAATACGTCGCCTTGCAGGAAGAGACAGAAATACAGCGACGGAAAAAGAACAGTGACAATGTCAGCAGACACACACATGTTGGAAACACACACACGTTAAGGTACAGGCACACAATATTTTTAAAAAAGGTATACAAGTCAGCTTGTACTGCAGATAATTCCTTTGTTAGGGGAGCTGATGTCTGCTAATTAGCGCTTCTGTTTGTTTCTAAAATCCTGCTGCCGCCGAGATTTCACCAGAGGATCAATGTCGACTAATGAGGACAAATATTATATCTGTATTTTTATCTCTCGCGCAGGAAAGCTTGAATTTACACAACCCCCCTTGTGTTTAATGACACTGCTCAACTATCACTTAAATAAAATCTAGAAAATCGTTTTTTGCTCCATAACAGGCTGCAGAGGCAGGTGGCACAGGTCAGGTGGCCAAGCAGCTGAATCATTTTAACTGATCAGCGTTGCACGGATGGTTTAGTGCTGTGGGCCAGAACAATATGAAATAAACCAGGGATCAGTAATAAAGCCTTCAGTTCAGCTTTGTTTTAGAGGTGCTTCAAGTAAGAAGCTGTCTGTGAGGTGCAAACCAGGGATAGCAGAAAGAGATACAAGCCGCTGATGGCAGATCATTTCCTGTTCCTCTTCAGACTCTGAATTTTAAACTGTGCTTGAAGGAACAGAAACAGCACTCAAATCATAACTTGTGTTTATATTTTCACCATACGGCTGCCTTTCACAGACCTGTACATGAGTTTCATGATACAGGCTCTGAAATTATGAGCTTGTGGCTTTTTTCTTCTGAGTCGCTCGATGGTCAGGTTTTTTTCTATATGTATTTGAATAAAGCCACATTAGTAGGTGAACTGGTAAAATTGCTTTTTCAACCACTATTTGGTTGGTTTCAGTAACTGTCTGGTACCATTATCTCCACAGATTATTATTTTTGCAACGTTAACTAAGTGGAGATTATTAGCGTCAGCCTGCATTCACTAAAATGCGACTGACAAAGTTTAAATGAAGATTTCTTGTTTCTCTTTAAGTATTTGGCAGCGAAAGTCTAGCATTATAAACTGATGGAGACTGGGAGATGTGGAAAATCTAACATGAAAGGGAGTGCAGGAGTTTTCTATAGAAGAGCTGCTTCGTTATCAAATAAAATCTATTTATAAAAAGTACAAAAACCAATAAATACTGTTAAAAGTCGAGCAATCTGCATGTTAATAAACACCACTTTGTTCGTGCTGCTATTTTTTGTGCTTATTCTGTTTGCAGCGTGAGTCAAACTCAGGAATTTGATCCACAGCCAGGTGTGACCAGCAAACAAACAGCTTCTGCACAGTTTTTTTTTTGTTAGACGTTATAATAGACACGTTAACATCAATAAACATGCTGCACTTTAAAAAGCTAATTCCCCGTTTGGCTAGGTTACCAAAATATTTTAGTTTGATGATGTTGTTTGTAAAAATCAATCAATCATCAGTTTTGCACTGTGGAGTTGCTCCGCTATTAAACATGTCACTGTGGCAGCGATCTGCTTTCTGTCATTCACTGTGGGGTTTATATGAGGTACACATACGCTGTTATGATGGCAGCTGAATTTTTGGGTCAGAGAACCAAAACAAGCACTAAAAAAGTCTAACAAACAGATGATCATTACTGTTGACGTCTTTTGTGTTAAATTAACCTGCGTTTTAATATAAAAATGTGCCTTAATGCACCTTTAAAATCTGCCTGTAAAAAAAAAGGGAAGGTACATCTTGACCCTGACCACAATATCCAGCTGAAAACTGTCGTAGCAAACACACAACAGTTATGGTTATTTTCATAACCATAACCATTTAAAATGACTTTATTAATTTCTGTGCCAAAGGATAAACTATGTGACCTCCATTATTTTTTTTAGTAAAGTGGCTTTTTAAACTATTTAGCGCCTCCTGCCATTAATGAATCATCGGCAATGCCCTGTTTTACATTAGAGAGATGAAAACTTGCAGCAAGAGTGCAATTTCAACACAAACGCGCTGAGTGGTGCTTTAATCAGAGAGCAGTGTGGGAGTTTATCCCTTAATGAGACAAAAACAATGACACTTCAAAATTACCTTCACTCGTTTACATACTTAATCATCAGTGCCATTAAAATAAGGCAAAATACCATTTATGACGCAATGTGGGGGATACTTGGAACAACATCAGGACTAAATTTTGATATTTTCTTTGTTGTTTTCATCTCCCTGGCTTCACGAAGCCAATATGATGCAGGAAAAGCGACACTGTATAATAATGTAGCTTTGGAGTACAGCTCAAGCTAACAATTTCTCCAATCACACGCTCAAACAATCACCTAATAGGATGCGCACCTCGCTGTACTGTGAGCTCATTAGGATGCTCTGATTGACAGCCAGGATGTCAGTGATAAATGAATATGTCAGCTTGGGACCTGCAGTTTGCTAAAGTTCACTCAGAGAGCTTCATTTCAGAGAATTCCCCCCTCAGCCCCGATCAATATCGTCTGTCTGGATAAACAGGAGAAAAACTGTGTGCGAGCGCCAGCAGTCTGCGTGGACAATATGGAAGGTCAATAATGTCGTGTTCACTCGTGATTGTTCGAACTCATCAGCAGTATGTGCGCGTGACGTGTCGGTGAGGCACAGAACACATGCATTGTTTGAGTGAATACCGATGTGTCGGATGATTACCAACTGGATTACTGAATCACAGGTTCGGGGATTCAAGGAAATATGAGCAACCAAACCACCAAAATGAGACCCATAAGAGACACAAATGTTGAAAATCAACAGGAACATTGGCAACAGGGATTCAAATCGCCAAAATAAGCCAGCAGTTCCAATACAGAATAAATAAATAAAGCAAGTAAATATTTGTAAAGGAGGTAAATAACAGATGACTTAAAAATCTACATGATCACAAGAAAGTGACAATAACAATTATTTGTAGTCATTTCTGCAGTGTTCAGACTGGAGTACCAAATATAGTCCCACCTTAGTTTGGAGATTATATCCTTTGAAATTTAGGAACAATTCAAGATTCAATTCCCAATCCACTTTTATATACTGTAGCACCAATTCATTACAAAAGTCTTGTCATTTATCTTTATATTACAAGGTGATGAGAGAAAATCTTCAGCAATAAGATGACCCACAAAGCAACCACATTACCCGCCTTCACAACATTAACCCTGGATGATGAAAAGTGATGCTTGCATTTCCAGGTGACGAGTGACGAGTTGAGAGTAAAATGCACCTCGCTTTATCCTGTGCATGCCGGAGACATGACCAACCTTGACAGAACCTTGTCAGCATTTGACATCCAGGGTGAAGAAGATGCCACTTACTGCTATGGACAGTATAGATGAATGGGGCTGCTGTTTAGACTAAAGACTTTGATCCCAGGTTGTAAGACCAGTCTACCCTGTAGCTATAATTCTCCCTTGTGAAACATAGTATGACCAAGATTTAAATGAAACTTGGTATGAACCAAAATGAGTGACTAAGACCACTAACTCAGCAGCAAAGTGTTTACATATGTAAAGTCAGAGAGCCATTTTCTCAAACTTCTATAGGAAATCATTTTGGAACCACAGCTGTTGCCCCTGGTGGCCATTAAATTGGATTAATTAGGTTTAACAGACTTTTCAGACCCAGAAACTACGTGCAACTTTTATTCTATCTATGATTACTGCAAAGACACAAAAAGGAGACACAAAATATTGACAAATGGGTACAATATGACCTATATTTTACCCAAAGTGACCTAAATTGACACATGAAGCATCAAAAACAGATGTAAAACACACAATCTGAACAATATGGAACGTGAGCAGCAAAAAGAAAGAAGACAAATGATAACAAACGAATAAAATGAGAAAAAAAATGTGATGAAAAGATGTAAAACAGTCCAAAGTTTTGCCCTCAAACTCACTGTAATGACCTAAAATATTAAATCAAACCAAAATCTGAACGAACTGAAGCAAAACCTCTGTAAAACAAACCGTTTATGACACACACAGGTACAAACAGACATCATTGGTCTGTGTGCTCTGCTGGTCTTACAATCAGGACTGTTGTTTTACACGTCTGTGCTCATTTGAGACGGTTATTTTCTAATCCACCCGTGATTGTTGGGCA